GATATGTGGACAAGTCACATTAGTGCCATCTGTGCTGGTGGTCATATCTGGGTTCCTGGGCCGCCCCTGAGAGGTACTGAGTCGGAGTCTGGGGGGAGAGTGGTCAGGAATCTGTCTCATAATAAGCCGGCAGACTGTAAAAGCAGAAGCACCCACGTTTAGTTTCATTTTAAAATGGTAGTTTCCATCTTCTTTTTGCCTAAGTGCAGAAGAGGAATTTAGTCTAGATGTCTTGAAACTGTGATAGGATTATATATTCAGGTTCTGTGGAAAAATTAGCTTGTATACGTTACTATTCACTTGAACAGGAAGGGAGGTGAGAACTAGCATTAATGAATGACGTCTCTGCAGGTGGACATGTGGGTGCTTAAGGGAAGAGGCATATCTTGGTGTGCTTGCATTGCTAGTGATACCTGACTTTCAGGTTCTTGGTCTCAGTGATTCGATGAATGAATTGATGGACCACAGGATCAACAGTAGGTTGGGTTTTATTCAACAGGTATTGCAGCTCTCACAAAGAGCCAAACCTCCGTGTAGAGCAGGACCAGTGGTAAGACAGGTTTATATACAAGTGTTACTGCTCTTACAAAGAGCCAAACCTCCTTCCAAAGCAGGATGCAAGTGTTTATAGCTCTTACAAAGGGGCAAATCTCATAGAGCAGGATACAGGTATTACACAGCCAAACCTCCTTGCTCTTCTGCTCTTTCTCTGAGATCTGCGCTTGGGCTCTTGGTTTAGAGGCTTATATAGGGGCAATTGTCCAATGAGCTTTTGAGTCTTGAAAATAGACCAATCGTGAGTAGGTTTTGAAAATAGACCAATCAGGGATGCACTGGAGAAATTGCCAGAAGTCCACTTGAGGAGACAGCATGGTGCCAGTGTCTCCCAACCCTTCCTGTCCAGTTCCTCTGGCTACTGGAGTCTTCATTGGAGGAGGGAGGGCCATGACCCCCCATGCTCCAGCCTGCTGGTTCCTCTGCTGGCTGCTGCCACAACACCGCCAAGATGGAGGTGGCAGGTCTTCCAGCCTGGCTCGGCTGAGCTAGCTGGGGTGCCACCTGTCTGGTATCACTAGAAATAATATTTTTTAATGAGCTTAAAACCAATATTCAATTATTATTTATAAGTAGGTTAGGAATCGAGAAAATGATTGTGGATGATGGACAGAAGGGAACAGAGATAGGAGAGAAGTGGATCAGAGAAAATCTGTTACAAAGTGCCACAGTCTGAAGCTTGGTGTTTCAAGCAGACTGTCCTGCCTGAGCTTCATCCCTCCCCCAGGGCGACTAGGCTCAAAGGTCACTGAGCCCTGAGAGACAAGACTCTTGGAGAGTGAGTGCATTTGGGGAGTTAGCAAGGAATACTGAACTTGCTGGAGACAGGGTAGGTGCCTAAATCTCGTTAAGAGAGAAAAAATTCTTTCAGAGCGATGAGGAAAATAATTTCCTTTTTTCTGTCATCTCAGTATTAGCAACATGGCCTGCTCATCTGCAGATTAGGCTTCCTGGGGGGGCTTACTCACCCTCCTGAGATCTGTGGGGTGGTCTGATTGGGGTCTGCTTTGACATCCTGCTCCTGGACTGTGTCCCCTGTCCTGTGCTCTGTTTGTGTTAAGATCATAAATAGAGCAATGAAAGTAAGAGGTGAATCAGTCTAATTAAAGTAGCTGAAGAAATAGTTTGGTTAAAAAATGCAAGCTCAGCAAGACCATGATGAAATGGGTTAGCCTTCGCCCATTAGACTGATGATTCAGACAGTGATGTGGGTAATAAAAGCAGAGCTAGCCTGGAGCCAGGGGCTTCCAATGGTTCTCATGCTTGGAGGTGGATTGTCCCCCAGCCAGCTTTAGAAAACTTTATTTTTGTGTCTTCACATCTTCATTTTTTCCCTCATCTTCTCATCTCTGCCAGGGACTGGGAAAGAGCTCCTGGGGTAGTTTGGGGCTAGGCCCCTAACATGTGTCTGTGTCAGGTGCTCTGGCAGGGCCATGGCAGGCCCCAAGGTGATGGGCTCTGCAGGATAATCCTTAAGGGGTGTGCATCCATTTTATGGAGACTTTATTTCTAATTAAGCCCGTGATCAATTTTATAAACATTCCATGTGTTCTTGAATATAATGTGTCTTGTCTCTTTAGAGTCATACACACACATGCACGATCTCTAACTGATCCAACTGGTGAATTGTGCTGTTCACATTATCTGTACTATGATTTTTTTCTCTTTTTTGCTGTGCTTGATTCATTAGTCTGAGAAAGGATAAAATCCCCCATGATGGTTATATTTTCTTATAATTTCACAAATTTAGGCTTTCTAGATTGATAGATGCAGAGACTTTGGATTACTTAAATTCTAAACCTCCTCCTCACCTTCCATGTTTATTTTTTATTATTTCCGTACCATATTTTTAAATTAGAAATTATTCCCCCTTTTTTTTTTACAGTTACATAGCTTTATGCATGGGTTCACCCATTTCTTAGTGTTCCAGCGATTCCTGCATCTCACTTCTTTCTTTCAGCGTTACTTGCCTTATTACTTTCCGGAGGTTTGTGTGGTTGGTAAGCTGTCTTCCATTTCCTAAACATTTTTTAATTATTTTCTTCTTGAGTCATGATGAGCTGAGTATAGAAATCAAAACTGGCATTTAGTTTTCTTCAGTATGTTGACAATATTATTCCATTGCTTTTGTGAAGCAATTATTTCTGCAGTTTTGGCCAGGGCTGGTCTTGAACCTGCCACTCTCGGTATGTGGGGCTGGCACCCTACTCCTTGAGCCACGGGCGCTGCCCTTCACTAACTCCTCTTTTATGGAAAAATGTCTTTATTCTCCAACTATATTTCTGGGTGAACAGA